GTCGGTTGGATAATCCAGTCCTTGACAATCAGTGATATTATCAGTGATAGTAGACAGCCTTGTCTTACTTCTGTCTTCACTTCAAAGGCTTCATTGAGTTTTCCGTTTTGGAGTAAACACAGGAGTCAGACAAGGGTGCTTATTATCATCAATGATATTCTCAATTGTGCGTCAGACAGTGGGAAGCGAGAATACAGGGATATCCTGGACCGACGTGAAGAACCTAGAAGACCTGGATTTCGCGCGTGGATGATTCATGTTTGATGTCACACAAGATCGAAAACTTACAAGCGAAAACCGACAAACTGGTCGAAGAGGCTGGCAGCAAAGACAGGACTCCAGGTGAACATAGACAAGACGGAGGTTATGAAAATAACCAACTAACAACAAAAACAACAGCAGCAGACAACATCCAGCGCCAATCACCATCAACAGGAAAGATTTGAAAGAGGTTAGTTCATTCACTTATCTAGAGAGCATTGTCTCAACTACAGAAGGAACGGACGAGAATGTCAAATCGAGAATCGGGAAGGCGAGAAACACATTCATCAACCTGAAACCAATCTGGAAATCTTCGTCACTCAGCCTGCATCAACAACAAAATTTGGATTTTCAATACAAACGTCAAGTGAGTCAGTTCTTCTATACGGATCAGAAACTTGACGGGTCACAAAGAATATTTCCAACAGCCTGTTGCACACCTTTATCAACAACTGTCTTCGCTCTATACTGAAGATCAGATGGCCGGAAAGAAAATAACCAACAAGAAACTATGTAAAGAAACAAAACAAGAACCAATCGCTCAACAAATATGCAGGAGAAAGTGGAGATGGATTGGACACTGGCTGAGGAGGCCGCTGGGTGACATCGCGCATCAGGCCAACGCTCGAGTGGAACCCGAAAGGGAAGCGGTGAGTGGGACGTCCAATGGTGACATGGAGGAGATCGTGTGAAGAGGATCTGAAACAGTATGGACTAACATGGATGCAGGTGAAAAGTACAGCAGAAGACAGAAACAAGTGGAGACGTGCAGTTGAAGCCCTATGTTCCACTAGGAACCCAAGGGAACAATAATAACATCTAGCATTGTCATACAAGTGTTAAATGCGGTTGGTAAGTGTTTAGGGCACTCCGTAGTGTTGAAGCAGTTTCTGATTAACTTCGTGGTCATGACTGTCGAAGGCTTTTTTAAAGTTGATGAAGTTGAGGTGGAGAATGGACTGCCAATTTGTTTTGAATATCTGAGTCTTAACTTCTATCAATGAAGTGTAATTATTCGAATATGTTTTGTACAAGTTATCGTGAAACTGTCGTCTTAATTGGAAAAATTTTAGTGGTAGAATGAAAAGGAAGGTTTCATAGGCAATTGAATGAATAAATCATACGATATGACGAGTTATGGGATTTTCAGTATTCAAGTGTTGGTTTGTAGGGATTTGATTGGTTACATTAGTTAGAGAACCATTGGAAAACCTGGGAGTACTGGACAGTTGTTTTGTCCGAGTTTGGGACTCTTCAGCAGTACGCACCCACCGGGATTCGAACCCAGGATCTTCAGGTTACAAGGTGAGCCCGTAGACCATTAAGCCACTGGGACCCGACCCAATGGTGAGCCCATGAATTCTAACTTCTGCCAATTCACGACGTAGCGCAACCCCTGGCCAATGTCTTCGGCGAGTATTTGTCCTCATACTCGGTCTGCTGCACCCTATTGTTTTCAGTATTTTCAATAAGGATAAATAACAAAAGCAAGTGGTTAAAGAATTGTCTCTAGTGGTTTGATAGTTATCTGTCTGTCTGTGTGTTTTCGACATAGAACTTTGCACATATGTGCGGCAGTTCAAGTCGCCACACTCCATGTAGCACACAAAGCAACAGGAGAGATGCATAATAAAGACAGTAAACAGAGGTGTGAGACAAAGGAATAGTAATAACGAAGAACGAAATAGTTTAATTGGAAATCATAAGTCACAAGGAGTGGATGCATCTGCGCCATCCACTGAGAACGATTTTGAGCCATATCACCAATTGTTTCCAACCATTGGTTTTTACCGTCCCGAAGACCCCAACCAGTCAGGAAGTCTACACCTTCCTACGTGGCTTAGACTAACTGTTGTAGATTTCATTGACTGGTGCCATGTCTTCGTTTGACCGCCGCTAGCTCTTTTCCAACCTGACGAATCCTTTGTCAGCTAACATTGCTCGTCAAGGAAGGCGACGACTAGGCATACGTAACACATGTCCTAACCATCTCAATCGATGTAATTTCACAGTCTCGTCAATTGATTTCCCCTCCTTACCTAGCAGGTAATACTGTCTTCAAGTTTAACATCACAATAAGTGGACTGAATAATTTTTATGGTAGACGGATTGAGGATATATACTGAAGTTTTAGTCGTCAATCTTAGTGTTAAGTCTGAAGATGCTAACAATAGATAATAATATTATTATTATTATTATTAAAGTTACTGGAACTCTACCTTCTCATCCCATATTCAGTCAACTTTTGTATGTATTGAGGCTTATAAAAAAGGAAGCAAACCAAATCAAATAATTTCATTAAAAGGGGTTAAATAAACAGTTGACCATCTGTTAAATTATTTAGAAATTTTTTCATCATCATTGTTGTTGATGTGTTGTTTTTTTTTACTGTATAAACATTCTTCCAGTGTTATTTATGGTCAGTCAGCTGCATAAGTGGATTCTACTTAGAGCGATTATTACTACCATTATTATTATTATTTCCCTTGGGTTCCGAGTGGAATATAGGGTTACAGCAGCACATCTCTCCATTTCATCCTATTCTCTGCAGTGCTCTTTAGCTTGCTCTACTATCGCTTATAAACTCTCAACTGCTCCTTTATATGATCGCTACGAAGTCACCCTCAGATCCACCCCCTTTGTCGTCATTTCCCATTCGCGTCCCACCTGAATGACTGTGTCAAATGGTGCTTCGGTGGTTCAGTGATAGAATGCTTGCCAGCCATACAAGTAGATGGCTCGGCTTCGAACCCTGGCTAACGCACTTCTAAACTGCGCCTTATTTGCCAACCCAGAAAAGAGGAAAGGTTGAATATGAGGCTAGCAACCCCATCTCGTATGAAAATACAACAACATGACTACTGAAACTTTAAAATTCAAGCTTAGAAGGCCCTATGTTCCACTCAAAACGCAAGGATTGGAGAAAACTAAGTGTCATCAATTAGACCAGGGAGTACTCGACGGGACTCGTCACCAGTATGAACGCATCGAAGTTCGAATCGAACACCTTCAGGTTACAAGGTGGTGAGCTCATAGACACCATTTAGCCACTGGGCCCATGAATTCTAAATTCTGCCAGTTAGCGATATATAGCACCACCGGCAGCCACTGTCATTGGCAAGTAACTGTTCTCTAACGAGACTTGGTGGAGCCTGCTGATCACGGCTTCTCCTAGACCTCCAGGTAACTTGCTGCATTGAGCGAAGAAATATTTACTTTTCAATTAGATCCTCATCTCTGGCTCTACTCTAATATATATAGCATTTTTATTACAATACACAACAGTTTACCAAACAAGTGGCGACATGTTTGTTAACAATAATTAAACAGTGTCAAAATGTCAATGGGCTGGTAATTAACGAAGAAAATCAATACACATTTAAAAGGTAGGAATGGTTAGAATAAATTAATTTTACAAGGATAATACGTAATTAAAGAAGTGGTCAGAAAAATAAAATAATTTGGACAATTATAATTTTTAAATGTTTAGGGGGAGGGGGGCGAAGTAGTCCGGTTTATACATTCATGTAACGATGGCCAAGGTAAGGAAAGTGGCTGTACAAATTTCTTCTGAACACATAGGCTTGGCTTTTTCAGGTGGATTCCTATTGCTTCAGCTGTCTGTAGAAGACGAACTCGTAGAGCAAAATTAAGATTAGTAGGAATGCGATAAATAATTTTAAATGCTGTATTAACGTCAACCTTATGCTCACTATCTACAAGGTGTGCTACAATAGAGCTACGAATAGATCTTGTTTGTCCCTTGCTTAACCATGTTGGCTGATGTTCGGAAATACGATGATGAACCTGCTAGGTCGTTGCCAGGCTGCTTTGAATCATGCCAAAGGACATCCAGTTGGCTCGTCGCATTCGTGGTGAGCGTGCTTAGATGTGTTGGTGGCTCTTCTAAACGTTCTAAAAAACACCTAGCAGGTCTTCTATTAACGCCTTCTTCTAATTCACAATCACTAATTAGGAAACGCAATAGTTGGCGACAATCTGAATGTTACAGCTCTTCTTCTAAAACAGAAGAAACTGATGACTGTGGTACATCTGTGTCTAAAAAGTCATCGTCTCTCGGTGTTTCGCTATGGCTCGTACAAAGCAGACTGCTCGCAAATCTACTGGAGGAAAGGCCTCAAGAAAGCAGCTGGCCACCAAGGCTGCCCGTAAGAGTGCACCAGCTACCGGTGGTGTAAAGAAACCACACAGATACAGGCCACTCGCCCTGCGAGAAATCCATCGTTACCAGAAGAGCACTGAATTGTTGATCCGCAAAGTAGACGCTTCTGAATCACATGAACGTCGCGAACTACTTGAAAAGGCAGTGGACTACTTTGATAGTATAATCTCTCAGACTGTCTTAGAAATTGAGGAAGAACGTGCTTTAGAAGAAAGTGAAGCTCTTACTAAAGTTGAAACAGGTATCTTAGAGGAGAATTCAAACACAGTAGCTACAGTCCGCAGCTACAGTCAAACTTGTAGACACATAGAAGAGGTAAATTTAGGTAGTTTATCCCTATTTCTCGAACGTAAAAATAGGGGTGGTTGTGAAGAGACAACGTACCTTTGCTGCATAATAAGCTCTTTTAAGTGCATTCTTCAGGCGCTGTGTTATTATTTCGCTGATGTTGTCACCGAGGAACTGCAATTTTATGAATATTGGTGATATATATATATATATATATATATATATATATAATTTTAATCTGCTATTTTTTTCTTCAAATATTTTACAGATTGGGATTCTTATTCCTATCGACTGTACATCTGTATCACCGATTAGCCTTGATCGATTTACAGACAGGTCCAGCTGTCCGTCGTTCTGGAATTATTCCATCTCATTCGTCGTTGTCGTCACCATCCGCCTCCTCTTCATACTCTTCTTCTTCTTCTTCAGAATTGCATAATTTAGAATTACAACTGACTCATTTAACTCAGCTTGCATCAAAAATGGTCGATGGTCTTAGTCATTTAACCTCCGAGTTGAATAGTCTAATGACGGTGTATTCTAATCCAGAGAAATTCTCACCTGATCAGTCAACGTTAAACACTTGAGTAATAGTGTGTGTGTGTGTGAGTGTGTGAGTGTGAGTGTGCGCGCTGAAATTAGTTCGCTGTACACCAACTGACTTATTTACCCACTCACCCACCCGCCTACGCACACAGATATACACACATCACACTGGATAAACATAATATGATGTTGCATTTTATTCTTGCATTCTTGTTCTTATCTTCGTAAGATATAGACAGACACACTACAACAGGCATGCCAAATGCCTCGATGAATATGAGAGCAGGCACACACACGAATAGTCGTCGCATACTGCATATTGTTGTACATATCTTTGTTAAACTGTTTTGTCTCTCTTCGAATTACTCTCTCTCTGTTTCTGGATCTATGTATTTATACCATCCACAAATTCTGTGAAGTTAATCTCATTTCGCTTATTTGACCAAATTGGACTCCATGTATACAACACACAAATACACACACATACATAATAAACACACAGTTACCCCCCCCCCCCCCCCCCGCATTGCCAAATACGCGTACACTACTCTACCTCCTCTTTACTTCTTCGTTGATTATAAATCGGTATTTGTTTTTTGGTTTGTTTTTTTAAAGAAACTATGAGATAAACAGTTCTTTTTTTCTTTATTTAATTTCTCGGTTATTTTTTCTCTCTCTTTTCATTGATTTACAGTTATCATTTTTACTTTACTCATAGTATTATTGCTGTTGTTATCATTACTAATACATATAAATATATTTATATTATAGAAGTCCTTATGTGATCGATAAAAATTGATTTCAAGCAAGAGAGAACAGATTTCCTATGCTATACACCACCATTTTCTTGTTTATTTCTCTTCTCAGGGTATGATGCATGCTACCTACTTGCATCTACACGCTTCTTCTTTTTCGCTTTCTTGAAGTGTTGTCTATTCTATCGTCCGTTTAATATCATTTGTTCTTTTTTTGTTGTTGTTGTTGTTGATATTTTTAAATTATACGCGCGCCTATATTGTTGTTTTCCCGCCACTACCTACACCTTTTCAATGTTCAATATGGAAATCTCATCATTTCAATTATTATTATTATTATTATTATTATTATTATTATTATTATTATTAGTATCATCATTACTTCTTTTTGGTACTACTAATATGAATTTAAAAAAACAACAACTGGTAATTTCATATTTCTCCTGTATATGCAATATTTTATATTTATTATTAATAATATTATTATTATATACTCATAGAACTACTACTACTGTGTTCATCATTATAAGTAGTATCTGTTGTGTATCTCTGTTGTACATGTCGTCATGGTAGTTGTAATCATTGAAAGCAACTGTTCACTTGCCAATTTGTCTTTCACAGTACGGTATATTACTATATATTATAGTAATATTACTGTCAGCAATACTTCTGTTACAGTGTGTGTGTTGTACACGTGTTGTTGTCGCTGTTGTTCTTTGTTGTCTGTGTTGCTTTTATTTTATTTTCTCTACTTTTTGATTTTTCCTTGGGTTAAATTTTTTTTTAAAATTATCCTCCTCATTTATCTTTTCATCATTTGAGATTCTCGATCTGCTAACTTGCATCGGTCTAACTTGTACTTCGTCTTCATAGCACTATTACTACTAATACTACTACTACTACTACTACTACTGCGACCGTGTATATTTATGGTTTTGTTCAGTGTATTAATATGCTGTTGATACTATACTGACTGTTATCATTATTGTTATTACTCGCTTACTATTATTCTCAGTAATAATGATAGTAGTAGTAGTAGCAGCATTATTATTGTATATTTATGTGATAAGATCAACAGAGAATAGAAAAAGCCTCCAAAAAGAGATAGTCCATAAATAAATAAATCAATAAATCAGAGTTATGTTGTATTGAATTATGTGTGTGTGTGCGTGGGTGTCTATCGGGAGGTAGATTTCATTATAAACGGATATTGCTTAGGTGGGCGGGGGGGGGGAACCATTTCTATTCAACTTCATCATAGACGTACTAATGGACTTAACCCTAGCTCACTTCAGAGACTCAGGGATTGACTTGCTACCAGGGAATAATCTCGTTGACTTAGAATATGCAGACGATATAGTCCTTCTAGGCGAGGACGCTGACAAAATAGAGCAGAGTCTTCTGAACACCTTGAGCAACAATCTTCGTATGTTTGGCATGCGATTCGCTCCTGTAAAATGTAAGATGATGTTGCAGGATTGGACTACACCGACCTCTAGATTAGAAATAGGAAGTGAAGTGGTAGAGCACGTTGGCCGCTTCACTTACTTAGGAAGTACCATCAGCCCAACTGGTTGATCTCCGACGAAATCTCATTACAAATACAGAGGGCTAGTTTCGCATATGCCAGTTTACGCCGTCTCTGGCGTAGACTTGACATCTGACTATCGACCAGAGGGCGTGTGTACTGCTCAATAGTTCGCTCCGTCCTCCTTTATGACTGTGAGACCTGGCCATTGAGAGCGGAAGACATGAAAAGATTAGCTGTCTTCGATCATAGGTGCCTGCGTTCTATCTTCCGCGTGAAGTGGTATGATGAGGTGAGCAATATTGAGATGAGGCTTCGGTCGAGTGCTAGGTGAGGAGGGAAAATCAATCGACGAGACTGTGAAGTTACATCGACTGAGCTGGTTAGGACATGTGTTACACATGCATACCAGCGAGTCATCGCCTTCCTCGACGGGCAATGTTAGCTGATATAGGGCCAGACTGGAAAAGAGCTAGCGGCAGTCAAACGAAAACATGGCACCAGTCAATGAAATCTACAACAGTTAGTCTAAGCCAGCCACGTAGGAAGGTGTAGACTTCCTGGTTGGGGTCCCCCGGAAAGTAAAAACCAATGACAGCTGGAGACAATTGGTCATATGGCTCGAAATTGTTCTCAATGGCTAGCGCAGATGCATCCACTCCTTGTGACTTATGATTTCCAATTAAACTGTTTTGTTCTTCATTATTATTATTCCTTTGTCTCACACCTCTGTTTACTGTCTCTAATATGCATTTCTCCTACTTTCTTCTGTTGCTTTGTGTGGTACATGGAGTGTGGCGACTTGAACTGCCGCACATCGGTGCAAAGTTCAATGTCGAAAACAGAGAGACAGATTATTATTATTATTATTAGTGGATACAACTTGTACAACTTTTAGGCAGGGAGAGAGATTGGAATCGTCAAAACTGTTGTGGTAAACATTCCATAATTGTTGTTTTGGTCATCATTATCTCAACATGTGTCATGATTTCAGGCTGCCACTGGTTCCGTTCCACAGAAATTAACACTTATCAGTCAGTTATTGAAGATTGAATCGGTTCGCTTGATCATGGTGTAATGGCAGATAGTACTCATCACAAAATGGGTATATGTTGTAGTCCATGGAATAGATTCACCTTACAAATAAATCACACAAAAAATAACTGAGCAAAGAATATCTGCTTCGATAATTTCCTCTTCCTCTGGCTCTACAATTATATATATATATATATGTATATATATATATATATATAATTGTAGAGAACAAATACTCGCCAAAGACATCGGCTAGCGGTTACGCTATATCGTGAATTCATGGGCCATTGGATCGGGTCCCAGTGGCTTAACGGTCTACGAGCTTGCCTTGTAACCAGAAGGTCCTGGTTTCGAACCCCGGTGGGTGCGTACCATGAAGAGTCCCAATCTAGGACGAAATAGCTGTCCAGTACTCTTAGGTTTTCCAATGGTTCTCTAACCAATGTCAGCTCATGATGAAATCCTGTAACCAATCAATCAAATCCCTACAAACCAATACTTGAATTATATATATAAATATATATATGTTTATATACATAGAATATTCTAGATTAGTAGTCAATAACAATATTAGTGTTTTTTAAAATAATATCCATTTGTAAAGTAAGATCAATGGAACTACAGTTAATCAAAGATGCTTAAATTATAACAATAATAATAAAAATATAATAGCAAATAGAATATCAACTGAAATTAGGGAAATTTCTACAAAAAAACATTGAGGATCATTCGAACCTAGATGGCCAAGGTAAGGACAATGTCTGAACGAGCTTCTTTTGAACGCATGAATTAGGCTTCTTAATGTGAACCCCAACAGCTTCAGCAATATTTAGTAGACAAACTCTTGAGGTGAAGTTAAGATTTGTTAGCATCCGGTGAATGACTATGAAAGTCGCCTTGTTGACATCAATCTTGTGTTCTGTATCGTTAAGTGTTCGAATGGCCCTCAACTTTTGAAGAAATTTCCCTAATTTTAGTTGATATTCTATTTGCTATTATATTATTATTATTATTATTATAATAATTTAAACATCTTTAATGAACTGTGGTAATTCCATTGTGATCTTACTTTACAAATCGATGTTATTTGAAAAAATACTGATATTGTTATTGACTACTAATCTAGAATATTCTGTGTAAATAAACATATATATAATTGCAGAGCCAGAAGAGGAAATTAATCAAAAAGGATATTCTTTGCTCAAGTATTTTGTGTATTTTATAGATGTCTGAATGAATATTTACAAATAAATGGCAAAAAAAAGACTCGCAACTGAGGTGAAATTAGGCTTCACATGTTATTCGACTTCTGACATCTATTGATGTAAGTTTAAAACTTGGGCACTGTGATGGTAGAGTATAACTCCATTATGGATAAGATTTTATTTTGATAAATCACACAGTGTTGTTATACAGTAATATTAACTGAAGACAACGTTCTGAGCACAATCCATTACTACTCATAATCATATCAAGTTACTCACACAACTTTTTCCTTCATTTATATACATGTGTGGAATTGACTAGATATTTGGAATAAAAAATCAATATGAGATCATGTACATTCAGAGATAATAATATGAGTGTTTTCGATCAAATACAATTAGATGGGAAATAAGACGAGTGTTTTTATAGTCATAATAAATAACTTGTTAGAATGTTATGATGTATGTGAATTGAAATAGAATTTTGAGATTATTTATTATCCTCTTCTGATTTGACTGACTGGTGGTAATAATATCTTCCATACATATCTCTGGTATTTGCTTTGAGACATTTCTGTTGCATGTGTTGTGTTGGGTGTAGACTCAATGAACAAGGATTCCGTAATCAATGCAAATACCAGAGATATGTAAGGAAGATATTATTACCGCCGGTCAAATCAGAAGAAAGTAATAAATAATCTTAATATTCTATTTCAATTCAAACACATCAAAACATTCTAACAAGTGACTTATTTTGACAATAAAAACACTCGTCTTATTTCCCATCTCATTGTAATTGATCAGAAACACTCGTATTATTATTCCTGAATGTACATAATCTCATATTGTTTTTTATTCCAAATATCTAGTCAATTCCACACGTATATAAATGAAGTCGAATGTTGTGTGAGTAGTGCCTTGATATGATTATGAGCAGTAATAGTTTATGCTCGAAACGTCATCAGTTAATATTACTGTATACTGTACTGTGTGATTTATCAAAATAAAATCTTATCCATAATGGAGTTCTGACAACTAGCCTCCTATTCATACTGTACTACAGATTATTGTCGTTTAGCTGAATAACTCAATGTCAGACTTGATAGATTGATTTCTATGAAGGTTTAGGACTGCACAGCTCCATCATCAACTATCCGTTTAAGCATTAATGTGTGCTTAAACTATTCAATGCACACATATTTACCAATCACAATGAGCGATTCACAAATTCACTCAATTACAATCACTTAGCTTGTGTAATATGAGATGCATTTCATTTGGCAACTATTTTATTTACATTGTTTATTTATTTGGTTAGTTGACTTCATATGTTACAACACTATTGACTACCACAAAACTAAGTTAAATCGATATTAATATTTTTGGGTATTGGTTTTTGTAGGGAATTTGTTTGATTTACTGGAGGATTTCATTATGAGCTGCTGACATCGGTTAGAGTAGAGAAC